TCAAGCAATTAATAACAATGATAAAAGAATATCAAATGCCATATATATTTTATAAAAATATGTCCAAAACATCAAATGTGATTGGATCTAGGGCATATCTACTATATCCCTAACATTTACTCCAATGAATAGAAACATTCAAGAAATGGAGCCAACAATCAGATCATCCTAAAATTTATAGAAGCAAGGTCAAACAAAGTGCTATGCACAAGCTACAGGAAATCCTCAACCAATAAAAGAAACTTCAACAGACTAAGGCAGCATGTAGAAAGTTCCACTAATAAGATTAAAAAACATAAGCTAACCAAACATTAATATCCTAAAAAAATTACTTGAATCACTTCAGTTAAGTCAGAAGGCATAGTTCAGGAATGACTATGCTTATGATTGATTTGCCGAGAAGCCAAAAAACCAATTTCCGTCGGTGTCATGCATAAGTGACATGACTTCTGGTTTCTGCTCTAGCACACAACCAATCTTCAAGGAGAGGTGACATGGCTTCTAATTCTGCTCGAGCGTCTTACAGGGGTGATGATTTCTTCTCCTCCACTAACCTAGAATTTCACAAGGAAAAAAATTAGAAAATATTCGAAATATAACAGAAAAATATAAGATTTGGGCATGTAGAATGTAATAGCCAGTACTCACATGCTTGATAGGAATCCTCTCATAAGTAGTGAAACTTCCATAAGAAGGTGAACCCAACGAGTATTCAGACGCAGCCAAGGACTCTCTCCTATTACTCTTTCTTGGTTTCTTCTCCATGCTCTGAGCTTCATCATTTGCTGATTTGGGATATTTCTTACTATAAGATGAACTTATCTGAAAGCTGCTCATTTCTGAGGGACAAGACTCTCCCATAACGTCAACCTCCGTTGGCCAGTTTTGAGAGTAATGTTTCTCTTTGACAATATGATCAGAATAGACTACTGGCTGCAGAGTCTTATCATTTTTTGTCTTAAAATAGATAACTATAGCAGCTAGCACAGAAAGGATAACTGAGGAAATCCCAAGGATCTGAACATTATCTCCAAATCTATCATCAATTGGAGACTGCACCCCTTCCAAAGGTTGGGCATCTTCACCAGAAGAATCATCTTTCACTAAGCTTTCAGGGTTGACGTTCACTGACTCAACTACAGCATCAGAACTGGCATCATTATCAACATTGAAAGATTTGGTTTCGGCCAACTCATGCTCCCCTTGGTCTAGATCCCTTTCTGAACTAATAGACTCATTCCCCTCAGCTACTAGTACAACAGAAACTTCTTCAGTCTCCAAGTCATCTTGTCCTTGTTCTTGATCATTTTCTGAGCTATCAGCCTCATTTTCCTCATCTAATTGAATTGTTGAAGCTTCTTCAATCTCCAACTCATGGGCTCCTTCAACTTCCTCTTCATTGCCATCATCATCTAAATCAGCTTCTATTTGAACTTCTTCCTCATTGGTTTCAGTTTTAGACTCTTCATCCTCTTCCAATTCAACAAGTTCAAGTCCTTTATCCAACTCCACAGAACCAGTACCCCCTTTCAAATACCAGTGATCTATGCCACTATCTTGTACATCAGTCAAGTTCATGAATTTTAAAGGATGCACTGGAATATCTGATGGAATGCTACCAAGGTCATAAATCAACTTTGAGAAGTAAGAAATGGCTTCACCAGAGAATTGCTTAAAGTAACTATTAGCCTTCGCCAACACTGGAATGTCTGATGGAATACTCAGATTAGAAAATCTTAAGTCTATGGACCCAGGAGTAGTAGTAAGTAAGGGAGAATCAGTAACTGAGATCAATACTAAAGCAATCAAGAGTACCAACAACAAAGAAAAAAACTTTGATATTACTGAAGACCTTGGCTTTGTTCTCATTTTTGCTTCTGCAATTTCCTCAGCAGCAGGTTCAGTAATTTTAGGTTCCTCTTCCTCTTCTTGATCAACTGCTGCTTCAAGTAACATCTCTTCTGAAGAAGAACCATCAGATTCTTTCAGCGATTCTTCAGCAGTTTGAGAACTTTCACTGTCCTCTGTGTCTGAAATGTTATCAGACAGTAATAACTCAGACAAGAAGCTGTCATCTAGACTCTTTGCTCCTCCTACTACATCCAATCCTTTTTCCTTATTGAGTAAAACCTCAATTCTTCGGTTGGGTTTGTAGTGAAGAAACTGAGGCCTGGGGGAGAGGTAATTGGTTTTAGGGTCATATGGAGGTAGAGAGGGATCAGCATCAAGTGGAGCTATTAAAGTAGAAACCAGTATTGGCTCATCATTGCAAATATCAGAATCCATGGTTACAGTATCAGAAAGGGTTTCTGAAGGTAAAGGTACCTCCAAAAATGTTACCTTTTTGGGGGGTTTGGCAACTGGAGTAAGACCTTGTTCTTCAACAACAACATTCTCCTCCTTAGGCTCCAATAAAATTTCAGTTTTTTCCATAGATTTTACAGTACTGTTGCTAAGCTCAAAACCCACATCATAATTTTCAGAAGATGCATTAAAGAATGTAGCTTTACCGTCGGACAAGGAGATTGAAGTCCTAAGAGGGTCATTTCTTTCCACCAATATTTTCTTTTTAGGGGATGAAGCAATCTTGGAAGAGGCTGAAATTGTTGGAGACATAAAATTCTTTGAACCCTTTGCCGCCGATGACCTCAGTTTCACTGCTTTCAGTTCATTCTCTTTCTCTTCAAAACCCCCTTCTTTCCCTGAATTAGACACCCTTTTAGCAGAATCTACACCAAAAGAACACAAGAAAACAACAAAGTGACTAATTAAATCAAGAAATCTTGCAACAAATTTTTGACATTTCAAAATAAAGAAATTCGAGCGAAGGAAAGGGAAATTACCAGCAGGGCTATTGGCAGGTGTAACGGGGTTGAATCCTCTGTGGGTTGAAAGAACTGAAGGTCGTGAAAAGGGGTTGCCGTTGAAACTTCTTCTTGCTGTAGAATTGGTGTTTTCAGAGGTTCTTGGATGAGGAGGAATGGGTTTTGCAGAAAGTGGAGAAGGAGATCTGTTAGACGAACCCGCCATTGATGGACGATACCAAGAAAGGTAAGAGAATCGTTTGCAGAAAATAGATGAGGAAATGAAATAGGGTAGTGAATTGAGAAAGGAAAGTGATTTTTTTTAGAGATGATATGTTGTGGGTGTTTGATTTGATGAAGATGCTGTAAATCTTTTGTAACGGCTAGTTTTGAATTTTGAATGCTGCCTTGTTTTGACCGTTGGAGTGAAACGATCAAAAGCAGTGACTTTTGATGATTTGCTTCCTTTATTCTTGTGGCGATAAAGGTGGATTTTGAATTAAGATAACAAACTTTGATTCAAATAGAGCCTGAGATGGGGAAGAAATAAGTTAGGTATATGATATATTAAATCTTTTTTACTTGACCGATTTATTAAGAAGTTCTATGCTCAATAATTTAGTAATTGTACACACAACATACAACATGTAAAAAGAAAAAAAAGAGGTTATACAAGATAGAAGGGAACGAGATTCAATGACTAACTTGATTAATTGATAATAATAACCAATTTATTATCATAGTTTATAAGCATCTATATTGCCTGAATTTTATTGAGCTCAATACCACAGTTTCCTCCATAGCATGCTACTATGCTAGGAAATAAGTTAAAAACAATAGTACGAATACTGACTTTTGGTATATGAATCAGACAAACAATCAAATTTCGAACACTGGAATTAAATAAAGATCGTAAAAATGATTTTGTTAATTTTGAAATTCTTAAGACCTCTAGCATTCTGAAAAAAAAGAGAGAGAGAAGATTTTGTCAAATAATTGATTAAAACAAGCAAAACGGTTAGGAACCTTGTGTGTTCGTTAAACGCCATTCGGAATTAAATCAACAACTAGGAAAGCTATCGTCCATATTAAGATGATCGTGGTAGTTAATAGTAACACTTCAACATCCAACTCACTAATTTAAGCAAACGAGTTGAATAATCCGGGACAATTATAAATTCTTTTGAAACTCTTTACGATCTATAAAAGATGTAATTATGACCAATATTTTGGCTAATGAATTCCATCATACATGAGCATGCTTGCAAAGTAGACTTTGTTGGCAATATTCTTTGGGACCCAAAAATATTGTATTTTGTGGTTGACATCATTTGCACAAGTTGTATATCTTCTTTTACACCTAAGAGGCTGATGATAGGCTATAATTACATGTTTTAGTTGATTATTACACTCTAATTTACTGCACTTTAGTTAAGTTTGCGCTTTAATCGCTAGTGTTTTGCACTAATTATGTGTTTTATGCCTTGTAGGTGTGATTCCGAGCTATATAGATGTTATGGAATGAATTTAAGTGATTTGAAGCTTTGAAGTCTGAGTAAAAGCTCAAGGAATTAAGCCGGGATCGTGTTCGGGGTCAAATTTGATAGTTGAGAACAAACGAAGACTCGATGAGGCATATTACGCACTGTCTAGTAAAATACACATAACCTTTTACTCAGAACTCCATTTTGGCTTCATAATATATGGTTGGAAAGATAACTCAAAGGACTACAACTTTAATGTTTTGCGTTTTTTCAAATTCCAAACGAAACAGGATGAAAACCACGGTTTCACTGCGATCGCGGCAGAACCACGGCAGAGTGCAGACGCAAACAATTGAAGAATCAGAGGCCATGTTTGGCCGCGGTTTGACCGCGACCGCGGTAGAACAACGGCAGGAGGCGGAAATTTCAGGGACTAAAGTGCAAAACACGGGATTTTTAGCCCAAAACCCTATTTTAAACACTAGACTTCGCCCAAGAGAGGCATGCATTATTTTGGAGAGTTTTTTTGGCAAGAAGAACAAGTGTGAGAGAGCACCCAAAACATCTTGGTTTTTTCTTCTCTTTATTTTTTCTTGCAAGTTTTATGATGAATATTGTTGTAGTTTATTTACCCATAGTTAGGAGTAGCTAAATCCTTTGTCTAAGGTTTTGATGGAACCTATTTGGGGATGAACTTCTTGTTTATGT